GATTCAATATGAATTTAAGCTCAGCATCAAGAAAACAAAGATTCTCACCCCTGGGCCAATAGGGAGCTTCATGATAGATGGAGGAGAGATTGAGGTTGTTGTTAACTTCAGCTTGCTTGGTTCCACAGTCAATACTCTTGGCACCAGCAGTCAGGAAATCAGAAGATGCATTGCATTGAGAAAGTCTGTTGTCAAGGACCTTTCTAGATTACTGAAGTGCTCTTCAGTGTCATTCTGGAGACTAAGGTGCACCTGATCCAGGCCATGGTCTTTGCAGTTACTTGCTATGCATTTGAAAGCTGGACAATATTAAGTAGGATGGAAGAAGGATTGATGCCTTTGAATTGTGATGCTGGTGAAGAGTGTTGAACATACCATAGACTGCCAGGAGAACAAATAGGTCTCTCCTGGAAAAGGTGAAACCAGACTCTTTTCTGGAGAAGGAATTGGAAGCTCCATCTCTCATACTTAGGGCATGTGACCAAGAGGGATCAACTCTTGGAGAAGGATATCATGCTTGGAATAGAGGATGGACAACGCAGGAGAGGAAGACTGAGGATGAGAAGGATTGACTCAGTGACTGGAGACATGAAACTAGGTCAGAGGCGATGAGACTGGCTCAGGATAGGACAGGGTTCAGAGCTAATGTCCAGAAGGTCACTATGAGTTGCAGATGACTCGATGGCACATAACAACAAGGAGGAAAGAGTAGCATTTTCTCAAATTTAAAGCCCAGAAGGCAGGAAAGAGTAGGACAGAAAGAGTAACAAATAAGACCTAGAGCTGTGGGACCTTCTGCTGCTCATGCTGGAGAATGATGGGCACCTGAACTGGATCAAGTTTCATAACTTTGTACATCATGTCCTGATAATTAGTGGATGCTTGTAGACATAGCTCCTCATTTTGAGCCATGCCTTGTCTGAAAAAAACTCTAGTCCATCCAAATGATCAAGTCTGAATTCCAAACAGCTATGTTTTTGGCACTAGAAGAGCAAGAAGAAGTAGAGAACAAATCACCTTTGGCCTGAAGAAATAAATACAAAAGAGGATTGGCTTGTAGCCAGTCTGGTTACAGAATTTCTTCAATTCTTCAACCAGAAACCAGCACATTTCAAGGTCTGGAAGGTTGAGAGAACTCAGCCCAGGATCTTGGCATTAACAAAGCTGAGGGCACGGTGGGCCTGTGCTGTTAAGAGGGGATTTGGCCCTGCCAGCAGAAGAGAGTGTGGCCAGCAGGGAGGATGCCCCAGGGCTCTCCGATGTACATTCTTCACTGAAATCCCCTGATGGACAGTCAGGTTCACATGCTTTTATAAGGAAGAAGGCCAGGAGAACAGCCAGAGCAACACAAGTATGTCCTCTGATCAAAGAGCAAAAGTGGTCACCACTTAATGGCCTGGCCCATGAGACAAAAACTAGGTCTCTCTTAAGCACCACGTTCTTAGACATCAGAGACAAAGCTGGTCTTTGTCCCGATGAAGATGACTTGGATAGGGACTCTTTTCTTTGATGATCGCATCGCCAAACCAGACAAGACAAGGTTGGAAAAGCAAACCCGGCAAGCAAGAGGGCAACCTGCACCCCCACCCCCCCTTGAAGAGCGGGGTCAGCTCCTTGATAGGAGCCCCTTGAAGGACCCTAGGAGTAAAAAGGGAAGCAGATTTAAGAGACCTGAAGTTGGTCATTGATCAAATTGGGTCACTTGGTCTGTGGACTGGGGAATAAGATGACTATGTTGATGACTTTTAATAGCAACAGCTCAGAAGTGAGATGAGTATGGCGAGGAGATCAAAGACGACCTTTCCATGGAAGTGGGCAATGTCAACACCACTTCAAGCTTGATGACCTCACCCAGGACCTGTCTGTCTCCCAGCTCAGCAACGTGGCTGATCACCTGGAAGATGTGGCATAGATGCACCCACAGAATTATACTCGCCATGGACAAGGAACACTCTGATCGGCCACTCTTCTCTCAGGCAGTCATTCAGCTGGAAGGTCTGCCGCTGTGGGTGCCTGGGTTTAAAAAAGACTGCAGGTAACTTAGAAAATTAATTTTGGCTAAACAACACTTGTATCTGAGCACTTGTGTGGAGCCTCTGCTACCTTTCATGTGCTTTAGCGACAGTTGTCTGTGGAAATGATTGTCTAGCCTGAGCTCCAGCCCATGCATCATGGCACCAGCGCCAAAGACAGCAGTGCTACAAGCTGATAATAATAGAGAGTAAGTGGGGAATGTGCAATTACATTGTGTTATAATTTATATTAGATGAAGAAAATTAAGTCCACGGGAACCAAAATTTGACCTTAAGTCGATCCCACTCGAATTTCAAAACCATCTCAGAAATGGGGTTGAGGGCTTGAGCATCAGTGAGCGTAGACCAAATGAGCTGTGTGAGGATATCAAGAATATTGTCCATGAAGAATGCAAAAGATCATTATAAAGGCTGAAGAGGAAGAAAAGATCAAGATGGATGTCAGATGAGACTCTGAATATTGCATTAGAGCGCCGAGAAGCCAAAGCTAAAGGAAGAAACCAAGAAATTAAAGAGCTGAACAGAAAATTTCAAAGGGCAGCTCATGATGACAAAGCAAGACACTATAATGAAATGTGCAAAGAGCTGGAGTAAAATATTCGGAAGGGTGAAACTCAGCATTTCTTAAGCTGAAGGAGTTAAAAAACAGATTCAAGCCATGAGTGGCAATACTTAAGGATGCTTTGAATAGAGTGTTAAATGATCCAAGAAGCATTAAAAGAAGATGAAAGGAATATACAGAGTCACTGTACCAGAAGGAATTGGCTGACACAGAATAATGAAATAAGGTATGAGCAAGGTCAAGTTGCTCTGAAACAGTTGTCAGAAAACAAGTCTTCAGGAGTTGAAAGACTACCAATTGAGATATTTCAACAAACAGAAGCTGTCCTGGATGTGCTCACTAAGTTGTACCAAGAAATCTGGAGGACAGCCAGCTGGCTGGCTGACTGGAAGAAATCTATATTTGCTCCCATTCCAAAGAAAGATGACCTGACAGAGTGCAGGAATTACCAAACAATATCATTAATAGCACATGCAAACAAGATTCTGCTGAAAACTATCCAAAAACAACAGAGAACTTCCAGATGTGCAGTCTGGGTTTAGAAGAGGTGGTGGTACTAAGGATATTATAGCTGATGTTAGATGGATCTTGGCAGAAACAGAGAGTACCTGAGGAATGTCTATTTGTGCTTCACTGACTATGCAAAGGCTTTTTGACTGTGTGGATGGCAGCAAGCTGAGGCTGACTCTGAAAAGAATGGGAATCCCAGAACATTTGATTGTACTTATGCAAAACCTATACTTGGACCAAGAGGCAGTTGTCAGAACAGAGCAGGGAGATACTGGATGGTTCAAAATTGGGAAGGGTGTTTGCTAGAGATGTATTCTGTCTCTCTGTATTTTTAATCTGTATGCAGAACAGATCTTATGAGACGCTCTGCTGTACAAGGAAGAATGTGGCCTCAGGATTGGTGGAAGATTCATCAACAACCTGCGTTATGCAGATGACACAACCCTGCTTGCTGAAGCTGAGGAGAACCTGAGGTGCTTGCTGCAGAAGATCAAGGACTGCAGCCTTCAGTATGGATTGAAGCTCAACATCAAGAAAACAAAGATTCTCACCACTGTGCCAATTGGCAGTATCAGTATGGATGGTGAAGAGATTGAGATTGTTCACAGTTTTAGTTTGCTTGGCTCCACAGTCAACACTCTTGGTACTAGCAGCTAGAAAATAAAGAGACGAATTGCATTGGGAAAGTCAACTGTTGTGGACCATTCCAGAGTACCGAAGAGCAACGATGTCAAGCTGGAGACTAAGGTGCACCTGATCCGGGCTGTAGTCTTTGCAGTTGTATGCTAGGCATCGAGCTGGATAGTGACTAGGGATGATAGAGAATTAATGCCTTTGAGCATTGGTGCTGGAGAACAGTGTTCAATATACTATAGACTGCTAGGAGAACAGACAGGTTTGTTTTGGAGAGGGTGAAGCCAGGCTGCTTCTTGGAGTCAAGGATTCTGAAGCTTTATTGGACATACTTTGGGCATGTTGGAAGGAAAGACCAGTCCTTGGAGAGGGACATCATGTTTGGGAGAGTGGAGGGACAGAGCAGGAGAGGAAGACCCTCTATGAGGTGGATTGATTCATTGACTGGGGTAATGGGGTAGGTGTGTTGGGGACAATGAGGTTGGCACAGGATAGAGCAGGGTTTAGGGTTCTTGTACATAGTGTCACTGTGAGTTGTAGGCAACTCAACGGCACATAACAACAACAAACCAAAACGAGTATACATGATTGGATGAAAAATATCAGTATAATTTTTAAGCTTTCATCCAAATAGAAATTTAAAAAAGAGACTAACAAAACCAGTGGCTGTGGAGTTTTGTTGTCATAAAAATAATGTACAAAATAGTTAAGTCCAGGATAACTTTTCTTCCTCTAAGTACATATCTGTTAGAGGCTGGACTTTGCATGGTTCAGTCACCATAGCAGCTGAGGGCAGGTTGAGTGCAGAAGTAGATAGATTTCCATCAGGTTTTGAAGAGCTCATCAAAGGTGTAAACTCTGGTAGACTTCTCACTGCAGATCTTTATTTAGTGTGGAAAAAAAGTAATTTTTCACTCAAACAGGCTGATGCAGATGTATTTATTATTTGAAAAGAAATGTCAAAGTCTTTAGAGATTTCATTTCTAACATGGTAAATGTCAGTACTCTTTAACAGTCACCAAAACGTCTCTGAGGCCTTCGGTATTGAAAAGTGACCCTGAGTTTGGGCAGTTGAGAAACTGCCCTCGCTCCTCCTGTGATCACGTGGGCTTGTGAGCCTTTGGCAGCCCTGCCTGTGCTGCTGTCCCCCGGAGATTGCTCTGTCGTCCCTCAGCTGCGTCTCCTCTCAGCCTCTCTGAGGACATGGAGGTCCATAGGGCTATGTTGCATTTCTCTTGAGAGCCTGTGTTTCCTTGCCACAGGGTTCCAGGCCACTGAGGTCCAGTTAGTGCTGCAGCAAGCCCTCCCCAATGTCTGGTTGGTGCTGAAGGACCACGAGGTGAGCCCTCTTGGGATGGCATGTCCTTGGCCTCATCTTTTCTCTCGCTTGATGAAATAGGCCATCATCAGAGGCCCCTTTGCACTACAATTGTTCTATCTTGAGATGAAGAATCATTTTTCTTGGCTTTCTGCCCAGTAAGCCAGGACTCTGGGTCTTTGTCTCTTCTTCCTGCCAGGTGATGGTGAAGAAAGTGAGTCAGCAGCAGCGCTGGTACCTGGAGAACACTTGTGATCAAGAGAGCTCGTGGAAGGAGAAGATTCTTCTGTCTGCGAAGGGCTTTTCTGTCTTTTTCCAGATGCTGGTGAAAGCGCAGAAGGTACGGGAGAGAAATCTACCTCCTGATATTTAAGCGGTGTTTGGTAGATGCTGGAGAATCTGGGGACCTGGAGATAAATGGGCCCTTTTCATTGACAGTGGCTTCCTGGATCTGAGCTTGCTTTCACCAGGTCCTGGTTGGTTAATCTGGGGCGAGACTGTCATATGAAGCATTTCTCTTTCTCTTTGACGTTCGTTAACTTAAGGTGACCTGGGGACCCCAAGTACAAAATTCAAAACCAGACTGCCTTAGGGTCGTCACTCGCTCTAGGACCCTGCTCCAAGTCCCCAGCACTCTCTTCTTTCTAGTAATTTTTATATTTAAACAGTTGGGTTGCCTCTAGTGGGAGTGGAATGGAGGTAAGAATGAGCGGTCATGTGATTATTGTTGTGAACCTTGGAGTTGGAACCAATCTGTAGCTGACGCCCTGGTGGGTTTCCAGAGGCAGTTAATTACGTGGGACGAGATTACCCATTTTCCTCCTGTGCAACAGCTGGTGGATTAGAACTGCATGCCTGTAAGTTGGCAGGACAGCTCCTTACCATTAGTCCACCAGAACTCCCTGATAATGTGATTATGTTGTTAAAAATCCCCACAAAAAACCAGCCAAACCAAACCCCAAAATTTGAACTTTCTCTTTTGGAGTTGGAACCTAGTCATGGCTGACTCTGTTGTGTTTCTGAAACTAAATCACAGAGGAGAAGGGTGAGTGCCCATCTTTGTTCCATGAAGCCCTGGTGGATTTGAACCACCAGCTGGGTGCGGGGTTATCACCTTGACTCCCGGTGGACTTCACCATTGAGTGCCCTGACTGTGTAATAGTGGATTCAGACACTAAAGCCCCCGGTAGACGGTTTTAGTCTGACATCTGGTTTGTGTCTGGGTTTTTCAATTCCAATTCTCTAACCTGCTGGTTGGTTCCCAAGTAGCCTCTGGTGGGACATAACATGATGGTGGATCTGCTGCACCTGCACCAGAAGTTTTTCAGACCTCTTCCAGGTAAGGGAGGCGTGCTGCAATCCTCTGCTTTTATCCACCTGTCAAGAAGAGTGATCCCCAGACGTGCTCGGGGGCTCCCCCTGAAATGTACACCCTTCCTGGGATCTCTGCTCTCCTGGGAGATCAAATGGGTCCTTTGTTCTGGTCCATCTGGTACTGTTTCCTGGAGTGGAAGATGGGAGACTGCTTCGGGGGAGCGCACAGTTACTGTGAAGGCCCTTCTTGTTCCCAGACATCTTCCCCTCCCTGGGCACGACCCCACAGACCCAGACATGTCTGACGGGGAGTAATCACCCAGAACTTCAGTGCTGGTCCAGCACTTTTTATTTTTTTTCTCTGATAGATTGAATATATTTGATTGTACGAAGAATCACCTTTTTTATTACTTTAGCCAAAACATTTATTTTGTCATTAAGACTTCATAAATGTAATTTTTAATGGCTCTGTCTTGGGGTCAGCTCCCCATGACTCCTCATGACTGGGACCATTGTTGGCAGGTCCCGAGTGGTAGAACTTGACCTCCAGAGACTGCTTGCATCTCCTCCTTCCGGCCCCCTCAGTGTACATGTCATTTCTTGCAAGCGATACCACTTGTTCGTTTTCAGTTTCCTTACCTGTGAGATGAGGATAATTGTTGTTGTTATGTGCCGTCGAGTCGTTTCCGACTCATAGCGACCCTATGCACAACAGCCCTAAACCCTGCTCTGTCCTACGCCAACCGCACCGCCTCTGATACACCCATCCCGATTACCCCAGTCACCGAATCAATCCATCTCATAGGAGGTCTTCCCCTCCTGCGCTGTCCCTCCACCCTCCCAAGCATGATGTCCCTCTCCAAGGACCCGTCCCTCCTGGCAACATGTCCAAAGTATGTCAG